AGACGTATCTTAGTAGGAGGGACGTCCTTTTCTTCGGGGAAACAGAGAGTCTCTCTAACATGAACAACTTCGAGCCACAAGACCCGAGTTCTGAGGATGCAAACACCGAGCAGCAAGGAGGTGCGTACAAGAACTCTGGGACGAACAGTAGCATGAACTTAAGGCCAACTGTTGGGTTTTCATGTACTAGTTTAGTTACCCGCTTCATACGAATCATTCGTGCGTTTGAGGGCAAGCGTGCCGTACTTCTAACTTCTAAACCAGGCTAAATATAGAGTCGGGAGATCACCCAGGCGATCCCTCAAACATCACTCAAAAGCATTGACTCATCGTCTCTTCTATGTCGCGGTTCTTTCTCGTGGGAATTTTCCCTGCTCTAAGAATGCAGGTTCAGAGCAGTCGGTCAGGGACGCCCACGAGAGGCAGTGTGGGTCCCACGAGAACCAGCGTGGGTGAAAATCTTATGAGCCAAGAATAGGATACAACAATTCTTTCTTTGTACTGTCGAAAGAAGCCCGTTAAGGTTAACGTAGACTGTGTACTAGTAAGTCCTCGTTAATGCAAGAAGCTTTCTCCTGTTTCACATTTACAACAGCATAGCGTAGACTGAGAAGTGTGGCCGCGTAGGAGAGACTCTGTAAAGTCACACAGCTTTCTTTCTGTAAGTCGTTGCAGCTTTCCACCTTTCTAAGTAGTTTCTTCTAGATTAGTGGGGAGTAGTTTTCAACTCATACAACTCTAAACTCGCAGCCTTTCCCAGTACAACAAGGAGCAAAAGCATCTCCAAGCAACCAGAAGCGCCGCAAGTCGAGCCAAAGCTAGGACCGCAGTGCGAGCGGCCAGAGCTTCCCTTACCGAAGCTGGAATTGTGGAAACCCAGTTTCAATACTGGCGCTGCTCAGAAAAAACCTGAAGTTACGGCAACCGCTCAAGCATCCTCAGCATCATCCCTGCTTTCTTTTGGAGAAGGACTAGATCAGTCAATCATCTACATCTGGGTTACAACCTTATAAGATAGACTTGAAAAAGAGGCCAAGGATGCTGGTCTCAGGGATGCACTTGCGGAAGCTCTAATGACCGGGATGTTGCTGCAGTGACAAACCTGGTAGACCTCGTTCATGTTATGTCTGGACAAAAAAGGAGATGCTTAGTTGTAGACATAAAAGTAAGTACTTAGTACTTCGTTGCATAAATAGAGAAGTGCATGTAGTTACGGACATCATAGAAGATAAGTAGCACTTCTTAATTAGTAGTTTCATCTTGCAAGGATTTATAGTACTTGTTGAGCGGTAATTTCTCTCGTTGTAGAGAAGGACTTCTACTAATTTCTGACCCCAATCTTCTGCTCTCGTTAGTACTACTAGAAGCTTGCTAGGAGTAGAGAAAGAAAATTCAATAAGTTTTCTCTCTCGTCAACGTCATCCATTGTTGTATAGAAGTCAACTCTGTTTTTTGTCTACTTACGGTCTACCTGATTAAGTTTTCTCGAGACTCGTGTCATAGTTGACCATGAAGAGCCTTCCTCTCAAGAATCCTACTTCGTGACTAATTGTACTTGTACTTGATGTGAGCGACTACTTGTATTTGATGTAGCTAGTGCACAACTCTAAAAAGCGACCAAAGAAGATTTTTCTTCCTGGGTTGAGCGACATTTTTTCTGCTCAGACCTCGACTACAGCAAGTTTACAGCGTCCTTTTGTGAAGGTGGCAAAGCGTGCAGAGAGGAAACTGTCAACACTGCGAATAGGCAACAATGCCTTGAACACTAGTACTGGCTTCCAACATTATGGCAAGCAAGAAGGGACCATCCTTTTGCTTTTCTCTGCCTTCTGAGTAAGTCAATAGTAGTGGTTCTTCAATTAGCTCCTAGCGCTCAGTAGTAGAACAGAGCGCTCTGGTGCCCCCTTCACTATTGTTTGGCTTGTATCTTTGCGTCTGTGAAGTGTTTGCTTTCTCTGCGCCCACCCAAGCTGGTGCGTCGAACAAACTCGAAAAATTTGTAATTGTAAATAGCCCTGGCTATAATTATCCTAAGGTAGGTCGACAACTTAGGGAGGTGTACTACTGCGAACGCGGTAGCTCTAACATCGAAGAAATTGGATTGGCAGTGGTAATGACCTCCTAGCAAGTCCAGCAGACCACGGAATCCAAGAGGCGACAAGTACTCTGCAGTGTCCCGTAGGGGTGATCCACATGCTTCATTATGGCACACAGCACGTTTTCAATAGTTTATAATACCTCGACGGAGACCGAGACAGACAATTCATATCTGGACAGAGACACAGACACGGCGAATAACGTCCTATCCTATCCTATAGTATTCTATCCTATCCAGGCACAGACACAGGCACGGACTGCTTGGCTTTCTTAGAAGAGTTTCTCTTATTGGATTGAGTATTCTGAGGAATTGAGCAAGGTAGAAGTGATTGTGCTAAAGGATTCGTGATTGTTGTAGTGCGGGGTTATTGTGGGCGACGTTGGGCCAGTTTTTGCTAGCAAACCCTGCTGAAACGTTGTTCGGTTGTGATGGAATTTCGAGCGTTTCGTGATGATTCGTGCTTCCATTGTCATTGAGTTGCAAAGCGTTCGGCAGAAATGAATTTGAATAGAGAGTAAATAAAACTGAAAATTCTTGGATATGGCCATTTGAAATCTAGATGCGTAGTAGTTCAGTATCAGTTATCAAATGCATTTGGATGCTAAAGATTGCTGATAGTTGAGATTTAGATGAGAAATTTTAGCAAAGTTTAGGATTCAAAAACTTTTGAGGTTGAGAAAAGTTCTCAGATGTAAGCAGCTCTATCTTTCTCTCACTGCAGATGCTTAGATTCTTCACAATACGAGCCTAAACAGCAGGACGTATGCTATCATCGTTCATTTTCAACATTTTAGGTTCTCGAACATTTTGAGTGTAACATTTTCTCTGGGGCACACTTGGGTGTTATGTCGGGGAGTAAAGCCTGTTTTGTGCTCCTGAAATAATTGCGAATGATCAATGGGGGACTGGTCGTTTAGTGCAACGAATACGGTTCCTCTCTACATCCCTCATCCTTTCTACATCCCTCATCCTTTCTACATCCCTCATCCTCTCTACATCCCCCATCCTCTCTACATCCCTCATCCTCTCTACATCCCTCATCCTCTCGACATCCCTCATTGGGAGGTGCCCAGTGGCCCATTGTGAAGGGCGTCTGGGGGGCATGATATCGCTGTCGGTTTAAATTTCTATTGCAGGGGTAGATGATTAGTCTACTTGTAGTTGATTCTTTCACCCGTACGCTTCTTTTCTAGTTAGGGCTAACGCTGTTAAGAATCAAACTGCTATTGCAGGGCTAGATCTAGTTTTGCTTGTGCTGGAAATCGGCGACTCGCCGTCTACTTAGTCCTTTCATCATCACGACTTCCATTGTGAGCTCTAACTTGAGGCGCATGGTTCTCAGTTGAAGGCGCGGTGGCTGCGGTTGCGTGAGCAGAGTCCTACGTTCGATACGAACCCAGACTCCAAACTCGTTCTAGACGAGCAATATTCTTAAGGCCTCTAGTACCGCAGTGAGTAGATGTATCCTCGTTTGGAGGATGGGTGCCTGATCCCAGTTTCCATCGTCCACTCACTCGCATCCTGATCCTCCTCACAGTGAGTGACTGCAGGCATCTTTTTGGGCATATTTATAGGAAAAGAAGCTAAGGAAGAAGGGTGCGTCCTCGTCATCCTCCCAGGAAGGATGCGACCAGGAAGGATGCAAACCACTAGATCCTGCCACGGTTGTAGTGAGTAGTTCTAATAGTCCTTGCTGAAACTAAAGCAACGTGCTTCTAGTGGAGGAAATGGAGTAACAGCGTCATCCACTAGAAGCGCGTTATCCAGTACAACTAGATCTAGTCGAGTGGTAAAAGTGGGACATTCTTCTCGGTCGTCTTCCAAACAGGGATTACTGTTAAGGCTCACAGTCACAATAGATACAGGTCATTTTCCTTGGTTTTCTTTGGTTTTCTGACTTAGGTGGATTCTGAAGAAATGAAGGCATGAGGCCACTTTTCTTTGGTTTTCTGACTTAGGTGGATTCTGAAGAAATGAACCCAAGAAATGCAGGCTGGCTTTGGGCTCTAATAATGTTGGCGGGGGAAGGTGAGAATGTTCCCATTGGTGAAGGAGTAGCGTCGACCTCTGGCACAGACACAGACGAGCACGACTTGACTGATCATCCGATAGCGTTTTTACATCGATATTTATGCATGGGTGCGTGTATACTTTTTTGCATCGATTTATGTACTTAAGTAGTACTTTGGCATGCTTTCGACAAGACAAAGAAAGAGGCCTCAGCAGTGTTGATCATGGTTAGCCATCATCATCATGGGATGGAGCTCGTGCTTTCAACAGGACAAACAAAGAGGTCATCTCAGGATCGATGGTCTTAGGATCGATGGTCTACAAGAATGTGATGAATGTACTAGTGGTGTATCGATGCTCTACAAGATGATGAATGTACTAGTAGTGGTGTATCTTCAAGATGGATTTAGGCTTAGGCTTAGAGTAATTTCCTCTAAGGTATGGAAGAAGCAAAGACGGTGGGAGAGCGCATGGACCTGAGGCTAGCTTGCCAACCGGCCATTATAAGGGTACAACGGCGTTGGCTATGAGTGAAATGAGCAAAAGTTAAGGCAAGTTGTATTAAGTACTAGACGTGGACGGAGAGCGAGAGGCGTGGCTTCTCACTTCCGCGGCCGTCAAGTAATTGACATACTGCTGGAACTGTTTTGTCCTGCCTATAGGCTTGTAGTACTATATGGGACACGGTGATGAAAGCGAGAGGCAGAGACGAGAGGTGTAGCTACCAGTAGATGTAGACGCCGAGGTGGAGAGAAGTAGCAGCAAGATGAACATATTGATCCACTTCGTCATTGTATCTACTGTGTAAAATGAGTAATTTCCCTCGTCTTATTCTGATTGCGTCATCTTCTTCTAAGAAAGAAGCAAGTCTAGCACGACACTCTTCGGCGATGGAGAAGACGATCAAGTAGAGGGCGAGGAGGATGGAGCGGATAAGATCTCCGATCTCCAGCTCATAGAGGAGGTAGAACAATTGCTGCATGATAATTTCAACCGATTGAAGACTGCAACCGCCAAAGAACTCAAGAAAGTCCACGTCAGAAGCGGGATCGTTAAGGCGCAGGAAGAGTGGTCAAAGTAGTGGTAGTGCCCGTGAGTGAAAACTGAATAGAGGTAGACCTTCGTTTTTTGGAAAGAAGTTGTCTCAGACTCAGATGCCGCATACTCAAGAGTGAAGCAGGAGTCTGACTAAGAGGATACACACTTCTCAGGTGTGATGCAGTCTGTCTAGCAGTCTGTCTAAGATGTAGATGACAGCTTTGTGGTCTCAGATGCAGCATATTATTTGGAATTTCTCGTGAAATGATCTATAAATTAGAGCATACTGACTTTTCTGCAGGAAGTGCGAAGGCGAGGAAGGTTTATTCTCACAGCAGCGCCTACTATGATCATTGGTGCTGGCTCTATTGTTCCTCCTTGCTTCTGGGGGTCTTTTTAGTGAAGAGAAATCGCTTCTTTCTAAGCTATTGAAGAAGAAATGCGACGAAGTGTCGCGTAGATGTCTGTCTACTTTGGATCGGGACATGAGTGCGACGGGGATGCAAGTGGGGGACCGTAGAGATGACATGGAAGCGATTCTACGCAATCGGTTGCGACTGCGGCAGGAAGCAATAACCGCTTTTTCGAAAAATGTGAAGGAAATATTACTTCTCAGCGTTATGGGAGGCAATTTTACTTCTTCTCAGCGTTAGAAGAGGTCTCTGCAAAGATACAGAATTATACCGTTTGTTTTTTATTGTAGAAAGGGCGTCTGTTGAATTCTAAGGCTCTCAAGATTTTTGGGAGGCAATTGAGCTAGCGGCTTTTTAGAAGATGACCCTAACAACCAGCTAAGGTTGAGCAAAGAAAGCAGCACTATTGAGAACACGCTGGTTGCCAGCATACTTACCCTCCTGGTTTCTGGTTGAAATTTTCGTTGAAGTTGGAGCAAGTTTTTTCAGCCTACTCTGCTGATTGTTGATTGTAAGTTCGTTGAAGTTGGAGCAAGTTTTTTCAGCCTACCCTGCTGATGCGTGGTTGAAATTTTCGTTGAAGTTGGAGCATGTTTTTCCAACATGTTGTGGGGATTCGTGGCGTTATCATGCGTGCGCTGGGGCAACTGTTTCCAGCATACCATGCTGATTTGTAACATGAATAAGAGCGACTTTGAAGCAACTTTTGCCAGCATACCATGCTGATTTTGCAGCTTTCTTCAACTCAATGACAAGCGTTGAGAATCTAAAAACCTGAAATGTTATCATATTAGCTGCAATTACATCATTTTTCAAGCTATAATGTAGTACATAGCTCATGTTTGAACAGGATACACGTATACTAGAGCTCAACGATGACTGTAGTAGACAATCTTGGCATCAATTTAAGATTTCCAACTAGTGAAATCATTGTCTGCAAACAATGGCTTGTCAGGAAATGAATTCGACAAAAAGTAGATAAAACTGAAAATTCTTGGATATGACAATTCAAACCTTCAAATTTGAGATGGTCATATCCAAGAATTTTCACTTTTATGACCTTTTAATCGAATCCATTTCCTGAGCTAGTAGCTGCATTCTATTGCAGAATCAGCTGCTATAGTCACTATCATCATGAGAATTGATGACAAGACGAACTTTAGGAAAGTTTTAGGGTCTGAGATACTGACCAAATGATCATCCCCCCGCCAAACTTGGCCGTGCTGGGGATGAAAGCCTGTTTTTCAATGGCTTAATGGGTTGACTGCCGAAGGGGGGAGGCACCTGATCAATGAAGCATCGTTTTGAAGGTCACGACTTACTGTATTGCTCATTTTTCTGATGATCATCTGAGGGATCCATACAAAAAAAAGGAGGATGTCCATTGAATTGAGTATGCGAGAATGGCTATGATCGTGATAAGAGATCGGGGGACACCTTCGACCGTAGTTGCTTATTTTCCTCATGATTGATTTTTATATATGGTGATAAGCACAGTGACAGTGTGATAAGTAGTGCTAGTGAACATGATCAGTCTAGCTAAACCTACGAGCCGTGCTCAACAAAAACTCCTTTTGTCTAAAATTAGGTACTAAGCAGGTCTACCTGATCATCTCGAATTAATTACAGGTCTACTTTCTAATATTCGATCTGCCGGATCACCAAGTGGGCAAAGTCAAGTCGTCAATGATCAAGACGTACAGTTGATTTGCGACGCAGCTTCGCAGTTTACGAGAGGAAAAAGTGTACTCATCCGCAAGGAACTGTCGACTACTTACGTAGAAAGTGCTGCCCCCTGGCGCTTGGCACTTTCTAAGTAGGAACCAGCCTCTTTATTTCTTGAGAGTATGAGCACACGTTTTTCTGTCATACTGTTAGAAGACCAGCTTTGCCAGGACAAGGTCGCCCTGAGAGACCTCTCTGTTGAGATGAAGCAGTTCATCGAAGAAACTGAAAGACTTTTGTTAAGGCTCATGGAGGGTACACGTTTACACTCATTCGAAAAGTGAAAATACACGAGTTGTAGCTAACTGAAATAACACCAGAGTCACTATAAGTTGCTCTTTTTTCAGAAGTATCTCGCTGATTTTGAGTAGTATCTTGCTTATTAAGTAGACGCAATATATACTGGTTGGCCTTACAAGTAAACGCTTATCGCTACCGAGTAGTATCTTGCTTATTAAGTATAAGTACGCAATATATACTGGGTGGCCTCACAAGTAAACGCTTATCGCTACCTAAGAGGTACGATGACATATGATCTAAGAATGTCCTGGCCTAGCCTCATCTACCTCTACTTTGTAGCACAAGACTCTTCTTTCTACAGTAGAACTCTGTAGTGGATGCTAAACATGACTAGAAGAGTTCCTGTGCGTCGTTTTTTTAGAGTGATCCTCTCTCGACAGCATTCTCCAAATCTTCCAACTTTGTTGTTGTTGTTATCGTAGATTGCTTATCGTATATGACATGCTGCATTTCTTCAATCACAAGTAGTTGATGCATATTTGTCGTCGAGTCTACTAGGCGTAGACTTCTGGACGAGGAGAGTGGTCGTAATTAATATGAGATTAGATGGTTTCACAACGTGATCCCAGATTGGCAACATTATAGCCTACTAGGCTCTATTTCTAATTCTAGCGGCTCCCCTGGCAAGATTGCGAGAGGAGGATCGCATCCGGGGTGCAGGCAAGGCCAGTAGAAGTGTAGAAATGGAGGAGCCTCTTGTTTATTTGGACGTGCCGTCATCTGGCGCAGGAGAAGTTATGAGTTGGATTAGTAAAACATCAATCAAATAAGGTCAAATCAATTTAGTAATTTCGAATGATATTCTTCAATTGAGCCTAAGGGGAAAGTTGTAAGGAGAGGTACTCTTCAAGTCATGCGTTCTAATGTTGAGCAGTCGTTTTTCTCGAATAGAAATGATGGAAAGGCGGATGCGAATACGAGAGAGAATGGTGCTGGAGGTGGTGGTGCTTCCACTCGGGTAGTGGAGTTAGATCAACCTTTACTGCTTCTCGAAGGTCAAGATCAGGCGCCTCGGGAAGTGGAGTTAGATCAGCCTTTACTGCTTCTCGAAGGAGGTCTCGAAGCTGTACCCCGACCCACAGAAGTGTTGAAAGCCCTAGCCACTGCAACAGCAGTGAAAGGACTAGCAGAAGAGGATGAAGTAGACACTCCAACAGCAGATGAATTAGACACTCCAACAGCAGATGAAGTGACTTTCCTTTAAGACTACCGCTCAAGCATGTCCCTTCAGTATCATGATGATCCTTGGCGGGTTTTCTACTCATGAAGGATCTTGATTCTTCTTTTTCTACTCATGACTCTAATTCCTCCGACAGCACGCTGCTAGAGATAACGCGCGAACCGCGTTGCAGCGACTGGCCAGACCCGAATTTGAGTCGCAGGAGATGAGTTCGCAGGAGATGAGTGATAGTTTTGGAGATTCAGGGGATGACGCAGACGAAGTAGAAGATGGCTCCGTGGCTGATGTGGGGCCAGTTTCTGCAACATTACGGTCAACGCGATTTAGTGTCCATCGTGATTTAGTGTCCATCCCTCTCCGCATATTTTCGTAAAAAAATACAGATTTTTTGCTCCCATGTTGGAAGACCTGACACCAGGGAAAAGGTGCGAAGATAGAATACTTCTTGTTACAAAGAAGAAGCAAAAGGTGCGAAGATGGAGGGACCGGGATGGACTCTCGCACACTCTAACCGCAGCTCTTCCGCAGTCTAGAACGTCATCAACAGACTCCTCGTCTTCTCCTAGCAACTCTTCAAAAGTAGTCTCTCCTTCTAGCAAGTCCTCGATTGGCAGAGAAGATTCTAAAGCATCGAAAGACTCTATAGCACCAAGAAAATCGTCCAAGTCCAGTCAATCTTCCGAGTCCAGTCCGTCAGACGTAGTAGTAAGAGGTGGAGGAGGTTCAGAGGATGAAGACCCTGGTGAAAATTTTCGAACTATTATGATCAGCGACGTTTGGTGTCCATCTCTCGTCTTAGCATCATCTCTTTGGTGGTATCCCTTTATTGTTCCCATCGAAGAATTTAATTCTTAGAATCATAGATACAAGAGAACAAAGGGTGGCATCGAAGGGAAAGGGTACTATCGAGACGAGGGGACCCTGAGTACTTAGACGGGTCCAGGGATACTTCTAGCCACCTTCATGGTAACTAGCGCCAAGTCATGCCTTTAAGGCCTCTCCGCATACTGAACTACTTTGTGCGCGGTTTAATATTGTAAATTGTGCTGCATTGATGTATCCAGGGATACTCTAAAACTAGCAGCAAAAATGTTCTGAGAACAGCAGCTACTGGCTCCTTGAAAGTAGAGGACGGAGACAAGGAGGAGGCCAGAAACGATGGTGTTGAGCAAGTGGCGAAGGATGTTCACGCAGCACAAGCGAAGCGTGCTTCTTCTGTCGTTAAGGCCTCTTCATATAGATATTCAATTTTTCTTTCGTGCCGTACATCTACTACGCCCTTATGGCAGTCTGCACTGAAGTACTGCTCTGTACGAGGTTTATTGTATTTTTGCACTGTCTTGCATTGTCTTGCAGTCCAACAGCATCTGGCACAAAATCAAAACTCACGTTTTTGTTCGGTCCATCATCAAGAGATTTTCATTTTCTCTAAAGGCTCTTGGCAACGAGAATAATCTCTAATGTTCCTGCCTCCGAGCCTAGAAAGACCAAGAAGAGTACTCGGCTGAAACGAGAGGGAAGCACAACTAGCGTTACAAGCTCTGAGAAGAACGAAAATTAGGGCTAGTTTTTCACTATCCCGTTTGGAGTGCGTATGGTCTGGTGAGTGGCGTCCTCCTTGATTTAAAAAGAAGGAGTCAAGGGTGACGCAGGGCACCCCACTCAACCAGGCATAGTGAAAAACTAGCGCTAAAACAAAGAGCAAAGAGCTCCGCTACAGAGGTCCCCAGTTTCGTCACCCAGCTCATCGGCTTATGGCGCTGGGTGATTCACTAATAATAAGTAAAATACAAATTCTTACCATTTTTTTGAATGCTGATTCTGAAGATAGCAAAAAGACGAACTATCTTCGTTCTAAGCACAATGGTGACGATGTTGATTGCTACGAATTATAAACAGCACTCTTCAACAGCACTCAGAGTACAACTAGCTTCAAGTACTCTCTAAGAAGTTGTACAACTGGCTTCAAGTACAAGTAACTCCTCTCTAAGAATTTTCTTCAAGGAAAGCTGATAGCAACACATCAGCTCGGTCATCGCCTCGGTCGACTGGAGACAGGGAAAAACAGAGGACTACTAGTAGTAATGCTGATGGTAGTAGACCTACTAGTAGTAGTGGTAGTAGTAGTAGGCCTACAAGTAGTAGTAAACCTAGTACCAGCGAGGAGCGCTCATCGTCTTCAACTCGCAATGCATCAGCGCGAGATGACGGCGAACGCAAAAGCAAGCGGGCCGAAAGGGAGCCGTCGACGCGAGATGACGGTGAGCGGAAAAGCAAGCGGGCCGAAAGGGACCCGTCGACGCGTGATGACGGTGAGCGGAAGAGTAAGCGAGACAGAGAACCGTCGACGCGAGATGACGGTGAGCGGAAAAGCAAGCGGGCCGAAAGGGACCCGTCGACGCGTGATGACGGTGAGCGGAAGAGTAAGCGAGACAGAGAACCGTCGACGCGAGATGACGGTGAGCGGAAAAGCAAGCGGGCCGAAAGGGACCCGTCGACGCGTGATGACGGTGAGCGGAAGAGTAAGCGAGACAGAGAACCGTCGACACTCGAACGAACTGCCTCTCCGCGTGATGACGGTGACAGCCCAAGAGAGGACCGAAGTAACACTAAGTCTTCAGCAGAGCAGGCAGTAAAGCAGAAGTTAAGATGATTCTCTTCTAAGTGGTATTTTAATTTTCTAGGTTAAACCTAATTGTCTATATTTAGCGTGTGATCGTCTATATAGATAGTTACCCAACTACCATGAAAACCGTTTTCATGGTTTGGTTTTGGTAATTAGTATACTTATACAGAAGATTTTTAGGTGGTGGAATTTAGTATATTATAGACGATTAGGTGGAATTTCGGACCCAACCTGCTGTTAGACCCCAGGAGCACTGAAATCAGCTGTATATGATGATGAGGAGGACTACATGAGACCCTAGCTATCGTGTAATGTGAAAGAAAGCCCAAAAGGAAGAGCGAGAGAGCTAGAAGAAAGGAAAGAAAAGGAGCTGATCTCTACTTCGATGATGTGAAAGATCCATATTTGAAGTAGACGATTGTAGCTCTAAAACATCAAAGCACGTCCACGTCCTCTTCCAAGAAGGGATCATCCAGTGCCTCTTCTAGTGCTTCTGCTGCGACTCAAAGTGCTGCGACATCACCAAGAGCGTCCTCCCGTACTGCTGCGTCAGAGGTGGACTCCATGTCGAAAGCGAGAGAAGGTGCCGCCAGTGGAGCTGAATCATCGCCAGGTTCTGCAGGGACATCAAATTAAGGCTAGTAATCTAGACGATATGTTGAGGTGTGATCATAGAACGAATATCCACCCCTTTGCATCCTAATTAGGTTTTGGAGACAATACCTCGTGCTAGGTAACTGAATGAATATCATGTCGAAGCCGCTGCGGATCGTCGTTGCAGAAGTGAAAAAATGTCATCTGCTGTTCTAGAGATAGGCGATTCTCTTTTTGTCTAAGGTCTACCTTAGTGATTAACTTTTTCCGTCGCGCTACTCTCTATTCTACTTAAATGCATCTTCATCTACTTTATTCGTCGTTTCTATAGATCTAGTAGCTATTGTTAAGTAACTCGTTTTCCTGAACGCGGCTAATTTCTAGCGACGTGTTTGGGCACGCCATCCAAGCAGGCGCCGTCAAAGCAGTCCATGGAAACGCAAACAACACCCCCTAAGTTAAGACTCCTTAACTATCTGTGCGAGATTCCCTGTATCTCGTGTGTCTGTTGGGATAACCCGTTCCCGTTCTACAGCATCAAACTGTGTCTGGTGTGTAACACCCGTTCCCGTTCTACAGCATCAAACTGGATAAGTAGGACACCTTTGAATTAATCGGCATTCAAGCAGGGGACTACTTACTTAGAATTATACTTGCACTCTCTTGATGAGGATGACTTCAGATAATGTATGTAAGTATCCTCAGTGATGAAGGGGATACCTCACAGCGGACCACTGACACTCAGGAGCCACGGGTAGTGATTGATTAGCGTTAAGTAAGCCAGAAGAAGAGCCCCGAAGCCCTCAGCAGAAGGAGCGGGATAAGATGAGGCGAGGAATTTTCGCCTTCGATGAGCTTTTGAAATTATGGTCAATGTTCTAGGTAGGTGCTGGTCAAGATCCTAGGTAAGTACCACACTACTGTCATATAAAGCAGGTGAAAGAATGCACATGTTGTAGTTGAGTCTAAAAATTGTAGGCAATTTAATCTGCTCAATATATGTGACAGGCATGACGAATATTTACATGATTATGGATCATTGTAGAACTAGAAGGAGTCATTCTAGCATCAAATACATGTTCCTCATAAGTATGTTCTAAAAAAGCTATTATATATTGGTCCTCTACAACTCATCTTCTGTAGAATTTAGCCTTCCTTTCTCAACACTCAATAGCATCTCTCTCTTCGCTCTCTAGCCAATAATCTTCTGGCACTGAATATCTCACGCTTACCACGCTAGCAGTGGTCCTCATCTGTTCTAATAAGCCAATTGAACGGCTGCGACGAGCGGCTCCGCGACTTCGTATTTAGCAGTACTGCCCAGATGAAGACCCTGAATAGCACTAAGCGTTCTGGAGACCCCATACTCTTATGGGTTAAAACTCATTGGTATAGCCTAATGCACCCAAAGGTCCATGCCTAAGACCCAAACTCTTCCTATAGGGCTAAGTGGTTACCTAAATCTATCCTGGCATGAGTGATGTTACAACGAACAGTGAAGTATCCTGCTGTAGCACTGCTCTCTCCGCCACAAAGCTTACTTTCCTACTTCTACTCCTACTACTTATCACGATTGGGCACACTACTTCTACTACTTCGAGTAGTATTCAAAAAGCTGCTCTAATCCCAGTGGAGCAGGAAGCTGTAATCCAAAAGCATCTTGGCCGAGTGCAGGATACCTTTCAAGTTACGCCTTCTACTGGTGTTGATCTGTCCGTCATGTTGCGACTTTTTACTAGAGAAAGAGGACGTTCCGACCTATTGTTGGCAGTCTACTTCATGACATGTTGTCCGAAGTGAGAAATATTGTATGATTGTCATGAATGTTGATTGCCATGGGGTGCTGCTAGGTATTAAGACCAAGAGGAGGACCAAGAAGGCGAAGACCAGTGAGATAAGAGTTAGTCTTAGTTTTAGCGGTCCTCTATGTCTATCACTGTGAACAATACAGCTTTCTTCAGCTCTAATCAATTGCTGGTAAAGCGACTCGAGCTGTTGTATTCGATGGCTAATCTTAAGGCTTGTTCTTTTCCTCCTTAAGGTCGTTTAGAGCAGAGGAAGGCTGGCACAAGATGAACTCCCAAGCTCTAAACGACCATCTTAATGCTCGCCCAAGATCGATGAACCTCCAAGTAGATGAACCTGGAGATTCGAATCTTCTGAGCTTTCTAATTTTTAAGTGAAGTCGCAACCGCAGATCCAGAAGCTGCATGCTTTGGTCCAGACGTTTGTGAAGGAAATGGACAGGGATGAGAGGAATTTGCAGAAAGCTTTCGAGGATCTAAAGAGAAAATCCAAGTAACCACTTAGCACTCTAGGAAGAGTTTGGGTCTTAGGCATGGACCTTTGAGGACTAGAAAGAGAAAGGTCTTGGAGGAGAAGAAGGAACGAGAAGTAGCAGCTGTGAGGTGGAATAGGTACTGAAAATAAAGAGTCACAAACAACGTTTTCCACCCAGTACTTCTCAAATGATGGAAGTAGAAGTAGAAGTCACCGACGTCGCCCTAGAAGTCAGTACTGAAATAATGAGTCAGCTAACTACTCGAAACTGGGCATCCATGATGACCACTCTGTAGGTCTTGAAGTAGTAGGACCACTAGGAGTAGTGCGCGTTCCTACTAGTACTCGTAATCTTACTACTGTAGTGTTAAAACCATTTCTTATCTAGTGCTTGACTAGTATAAGCTGTAAGTGTTTATTATCTGCTGGTACCCCAGGCAGCTTAGGTTATCACGTGGTTCGTCTCCGAATGAATGACTGAATACCCCAAGTTGTAGAGCATGCTATTATAAGCTAGCCAGTCTAGCATGATGAAGCTCAACTTGATCTAAAAGTATCAATGATCTCTAAGAGTCTGAGATTCTAAAGCCTACAAGACAATGTGTTACAGCTGCCACCGGAAAAACTTTTCAGAAATTTTGATACATTTCCCCTGTTCTGGTGCAAAAAGATGTATAAGATGATGTTATTAGCGAGTTGAAATTGTAACAAGTGTGATGATAAAGAGTTGAAAGAAGTGACGATGACCTAAATTTAAAAAGAAGAAGTGACACCTATAACTAAACTGAATTCATTGAATAAGTTTCTGGTTACTCCTCGAACGAGTTGATTGGCAAACAGAACAAAGTGATTTTCTAAAAATGACTACAACCCTAAGGGAGCCTAAAAACAATTCCCAATGTCCCAGAGTGGCCATATTACTCTTGATCTAAATCTAGATCTAAATCCATAGTTGTCCTAGTAGAAGAGTGACCATCTTTTTACCTTCCTCCAAACAAACTAAGTAATCCAAACTAAGCAATAATATAAAACTAATTATAATCCAAACTAACTGAAAAGCAATATTTGATCCAAACTAGTAGGTGATATATGAAAATGAATATTAATTTTCGATATGAGTACAAGATCACTTTCGAGGAAGCCTTGAAATAACAGGTTCTTTGAGAATACTAGTTCTGAATTATCAGCCCTCGTAAGTGGTTACTCTACGCTTGTCTGGAAGCACTTTCGGAGCTTGTCTCTGCGGTCATCAGCAAAGAACGAACAGGGACGCATGTTCCATGCGTGGCCACTCTACTCGGTTATTTCATTTTTTACTCGGTTATTTCGAAGTGTAATTGTTTCTCCTGGAGACTCCACTGCTGCTGGGCGAGGCAATACCGCAGCTGCCCAGCTGCATACTCCGGATCGGTCCCTTTCTTGTGATCATTCATGCAAAGAGACCTTCAACATTCAACATCCAAGGAGGGAGGGTGGGGGAGTATCGTCCCCATGTTTCCTATCGTCCATCGAGACTGCAGCTCTAGAAGTAAAGCGAAGTATCGTCGTCCCCCTCTTTCCCATCGTCCCAAACTCCTACAGTTTGCTGATTACTCCCAGAAGATGATACAGTGTGACATTTTTATTAGACCGCAGTTCTTCTACATGAGTGTCTTTCACGTTAAACTGCTTCCAGAAGATCAAAAATTATACGCTATTTTTATACCTGTCTGTTGATATTTTGTGAACACGCTTTTAACTGTCTGAGTTAATTATATTAACCGTGGGTGCCGGCAGAGCTCGATGTGCAGGATCAATAACCTAACCTAACCTGATATTATAAGTGAACACGTGTACTACAACCGCTTAAACGACTTCTAAGTGCTACTTCTGCACTCGCGTGCTACTACTACTTGATGATCATGCAAAGAAGGGTGCTGTTTTAAGGGCTACCACTTGTACTGCTACATCTAAGTGAAATGCAAACACTGGACGTAGAGTCATAGCAGGAAGGTTGTGTCCAGAAGGATCTTGTTTATTCTCTCAGATGGCAACTTTGTTATATTATATTTTCAGACTTTTTCAGAAGATCCGCCTCTACATTTCCTCCTCTCTATCCTCGTGAGAGATGGAACTATTCTATGTGTCTGGGTTTTTTCAGTTTATCGAATACAAGCTAAAGATGGGGGGCCCGTAGCTTTGAAGCCATTATGGCTACGATGATGTTGAGAGTCTACACTGAGTTGGTAGAAATATCTCTATCGTCCCCTGTATTGATCTTGGCTATGAAAAACGGACGATGACATGGCCATCCTTCTAAAAGCGCTGCCATCTCAAAGAGGTGGAGGTGGAGGTGATCTTTCGAGATTTGGGTATTGTGTGAAAAACACGCGAGAACTGCAATCTTCCTACGATGCACGATCCACTTCGTGGAGAGCAACTTGTAGTCGTAGAACACGTACAAGACTCTGTGACGGGAGCGACGGCATCTTCAAGTAGTTGACAACTCAGTACAAGACTCCGTGGTTGCAGCGACAAGAACATCCTCAAGTAGTTGGCGACGTCTATTCAAGTTGTTGGCAACTTCTAGATGACAACATCTATCCTAAGTTGACAACATCTTCTGCACATCACCAAGTACAAAAAGAGTAAAAACTGACTTGAAGAAACCGCGACCAGAGCAGTATTGAAGAAACCGGAGTCCTGCAACCAGAGTAGTTGCCCCGATTAGCGGAAAGTATATCAACAGGAGTAGTGTTGAAGAAAATGAGGCAGGATTTGTCTAAGAGGCTTCTGGGCCTCGATCAGATCCTTCGCAGGAGTCTGGTTATTAAGGCTACCGCTGAAGCTGCATCTAGTACGTAGTGCTAGTAGACAGATTTTTTTACTTCTACTATATATATGTAAGAATTTTTAGAACCTCCTCCTTTCGCGTGTTTCAACCCTTCAAATGTGGAATAGCCACTTGATCATGAAGGCTTGTTGAAGTACTACAAGGTCATCCTTTTGGAGGTTCCTCTATTACTTCCACGTACTTGAGAAGCACCCGCCACTGCCAAGGTTAGAAGTCCCACGGACCATACTATTTCTTTCAAAGAGGAAGATATAGCTCTAAGGTTCTCGACGATAACAATGCTTACGGCCATCCTCAAGTGAACGCAGAGGTCTCAACTGCGTTACAGCTGCGTGCAGTGCTCAAACTTCTCTTAAGGCAGTGCTCAAGGCTCCACTAGTACTAGTAGTACAGAGTTGTTTCTCCTCAAGTATGAGTATCCTGGCTAAGATGATCAAAGACAACCAGGGAGTACTTCTTAGTCCACACTTAGTATAATGTAAGAGTTTTTAGTAGTGCTTTGCTGTAGAAATCCAGAGTACTAGACGTCTTTCTCTTTCTCTTAAGAGTTTTTTTTTCTGAGGAAGGTTCGCGACCTAGATGGTTCCGCATTTTCTTGATAGAAGTCGTAGTTCGTTGTAGTTCGTATCCAGCAGGTCATGATCTTCATAGAATCTCGATCTTGATGATACCTCCAATCATTCTGGCGAAAGTGCCACGATATGCACACTGTACAAGGGAGGAGTTGGAGGAGCTGGCTGTCCGGACGCATCTCATTTCTGTGCCGCCTATGTCGTGTACTATTGCGTTTTCTGATGATGTAGTCCAATATTTGTACTTACTACTAATTTCTGTGCCGCCTATGTCGTGTACTTACTACTACTATTGCGTTTTCTGATGATGTAGTCCAATATTATAGCTGATCACCCTCTGATCATCTAGTCCAATATTATAGCTGATCACGATCTACAGTCCTTCCACAGTAGAAGTAAGAAAGTAGTAGAACCAAGCTCGTATTTCCCGGCTCTTTTCTCACGCTTACAAGTTATTACTTAGACAGCATGTTTCCATCCACGACTATCAGGAGGTGGGTCCCAGGTTCCTGCTTCGTAAGTAGAAGTATGAGGCACTTTGGAATCTCTTCCTCGTCTATCAGGTCTGCTTCGGAAGGATCAGAGGCTGCCGGAGAGTGAGCATTACATTCTTCTTTAAGACTTGGTTTCCTAGAACATCTTGTTCTTAAGTGTGTCCTCAAGAGGTCTATCCTCACCTCTCAAGTCTATCTTGTTTTCGCAAGAAGGAGTTCACCCTGCTCACATTGTTCCAAATGTGTGTACTCTTGAACTTGACTCCGAACTTCTGGATGAACTAGGAGTATTTAATTGAGAAAATTAGTTGGACTCTTCACATTCATAGAGTAGCTGGACTTTCTAACTTCTGTCCGGGAGGTGCGTGGGGATATCAGTGGGCTTGGAAACGTTGATGAACCAGTCACTATCGAAGCTTTTCCAACGACTGCAAAAATCAACAAACGGCCAATCTGCGGTGCCGGGTTATCGTGTCATTATGCAGTTCACCGTCAATCCTAACCACAACAGGCTATCCTGTCTGCGACAGGCTATCCTCTCCACAGGCTTTCCTATCCATAGGATAGTCTAAAGATGCTTCAAAGAATAGTCTGCGGATACTTATTAACTTCAATGAGTAGGCTAAGGATGCTTCAAAGGATACTCTAAAGTAGGTGCTTCATCTTGCTCGTAGTTTCTCTGTTGATCCTACCTCAGGTCTGTTGAACTAGAATCATGTTTTACTAGTAGTTGAACAGTTGTACCTAGCTAGTTCTCGTACCATACTAAACTGCTGTTTCTGATGGCCTCCGAGAAAAATGAGGAGAGTAATACAAGTCAACGCGAGTGTCGATTAAGTTGAACTAGTGCCTCCACCTTCCTCGGGATAAAAGTCCTACTATCTTCATCCAAGGGATAATCTTCCGCCTCCTGCTCTAGTCGATTTCTTAGACTTCTAGTGGAATACGACAATGTTAAGAAGCAAGTAAGTATCTTACTTGCTTTGAATTCCGCTTACTTTATAGTACTTACTTCATTACTCTAATCGGGTCCGTCCTCTGGTGGACAAAATCGTTATTCCGATGGACGGAAGGCCATCCGAGGACATTCTAGTGATGCCGGAGGAAACGGCGATATTTGGCAGGGTTTCCGCGGATCTGAAGTACATGGCAGCCCTCAGGGCGTTGGTTAAGGCGCTTACAAATCGTAGTTACTGTATAAAAGAAGTGCACGTACCCGTGGATTGGTTTTACTACTACTACTACTACTACTACTACTAAGTGCAGCAAAGGATAGAACTTTTTACAAATTGTAGTTGCTAGAAATAAGCGTATTTTTAAGGGATAGAAGAAAGGAAGGAAAGTTCGTTGTAAGATTAAGCACAATCATCATGATCATCATCATCATCATCATCGTCGTGCGGTCTTATGCTTCCTAGGGTGGTTGTTTGTAAATTTGTTGAATTCATTCTTTGCAAAACCTCCACTTGTAACTTCGGGGGGGGGAAGAAGCATATAGTCTCATGGAAAAAAATAGCCTCTTGCTAGTATTGGCGCACTCATTCACTCACTCCAGAGGGACTGAGTCAGAGAGACACTTCAGAGATTTAGACTCGAGACTCTCTTTTAACTAGTACTGACCAGTTTGGGAGTGGGACTCTTCTATATCACTTTGGAGACTCAAGACTCTCTATAATTGAGAGGTGCATATCATCTTCTAGTACTTTGGAGGCGTGGGCGTGTCTTCAGGGTTGTCTAAATTGGCGCTGAAGAAGAAGAAAGTTCGGTTACGGCAAGACAAAATGTTCGCAAAGGACGAGCAGCCGTTTGACGGTAGTGCCACTGAGGAAGGCTTTCATAAGCGACAAAAGCCAAGATACCAAGACGACGATTACGAGTACTATTAACACTGAACTGTCACTTGATGTAAAGGGGACAATAATATCACTCATCACTCAAATTTTTAGATCGATGGCCAAAACTTGCATTGGTAACCTAGTAGAGAGTTGATAGATGCATAGTGGTTCAGTATCAGCTATCTAGTACATTTAGATGCTGAACATTGATGATAGTTGAGATTTAGATGAAAAACTGTAGCAAAATTTAGGATTGAAAGACTTTTGAGGTTGGAAAAAGCGGTAAGACTTCAGTAGCCGTCTGACTGTAAAAAATGCTTAGACTCTTCACGGCAGTGTTTCCCTCTGGGTAGACTGACTTGGTCGTTTCGGAGGGTGGTGCTGCCTTTTTTTTTGCGTACACAAAAATAGGATAACCACGGTTCGAGGGTTCACCGCGGGCGCCTGATCAATGCTTACCTTGAAGTGTGGAGGTGCTCTCAATGAAGCTGGAGGGGCCCGCTCGTTTTCAAAAAAAATAGTCGAATTTTGTTCCTCTCTACCTGCATGGGGTGCCGAGTGGAGCCCCCTTGAAGTGTGGAGGTGCTCCAGTCGTGGAGGTGGACATCTGCACAAGAGGATACCAATTCTCAGATGACTCTAGCACAGAGGCTCTAACACAGATGACCTGAACAAGAGGTTACTAATTCTCCAAATTTTCACAGAACAACAACAACAGGGAAACAACAACAACAACAGGGGAACAACAGGGAAACAACAACAACAACAACAACAAGGAAACAACAACATGCTCATTCCTCACTCATCCAAATTCCTTAATTCCTCACTCATCCAAATAGACATGCACCCTAAATCACAGGCACAGGGCAACAAGAACATGCTCATTCTCACCCAATTCGCCCTGATGGTATTTGATATTTATCCTAAATATATATACCCAGAACATGCAGGTATTTGATAGAGAAGATGTCACCGACGCGGTCGCAGCCCTTGAGTGTCTTTTTGTCGGCCAGGCGGTCGCCCAAGGTGCTGCAGGAGCACGACCCGGATTTGGAAATCATCTTATGACGACATAGAAGTCATCTTATGTTGTGGTGTTGATCTTGACAGGAGCAAACTAAGACTTGTTCTTTTCTCATGTAAGACGAAGAACCTATGCAGTTGGCAGGAAATTAACACTATGTGGTTGACAGCAAGTGAATTATAGTTGACACCAAACTAGTACGTACCTATAAACAGCAGACTTATAACGTCTTTTAAGTTGTCACACACACAAACTCTAAGTTTAGGCACAGGCTCCGACTCGGAGGACGAAGCCTCTGCAGATTCACGATCAGGCGGCCAGCAACAAGCTGCGCTATCTCACAATTAAGGCTCAACACAATTTTAAGTAGCTTATTTCTGCACGTCAATCATTTCTCCTTTTTGTTGCTCTCTTGGGATCCATTCTCGGGAGAAGTCGCGGTTGCAGAAGTAAAAAATTCATTGTCATCTGTTGTCTTACAGAGAAGTCAAGTTGTAGTGTAGACGTCTTTTCAACCTGGATTTTTTTTTGAGTGATGGTGTGGCTGGTTTATCGAATTGTTTTGAGCTCTAACACAACTCATCCCGGGTACGAAATATCATCAGACACTATAAGAAGCTAAAAAATCGAGTCGAACTCGCTAGCAACGAGGTGGATCGATCCCTCATAAACAATGGGAGAAAGTACTGCTACAACTACTGATAAACAATGCAATTCAAAGTACTACTGATGTAAACTGTTCTTGTATGTTGCTACTAACAGGAGTTGGAATGAAATTCCTATACCTCTAAAACCATGTATGCTTTCTCCGCTCAAATACTAACCTGTTGTAGCAGTTGTAGGCATTATTCTACATCCTTTCGGAAACAGGCTGGTCCATACTAGATCCAAGCTGTAGCTCTGAGATGGCTTACTGCTCTACTTATTATTAGTCTGTAATCAGTTGCGTCTTGTATTTCGCGCTTCCTTTCTCCTCATCTTCTCATCGTTTGTCCTACTAGTAGATAACAAGTATTATGTACGACTAATCTATATCTACATTCGCGACATAAAACAGGTTCACCTCGCGCGAGGCACATTCATTCGCTCCCCTCTTGATAGTCGTGAATGCTCACCTCCTTGAGGCGAGCCAGCTCCTATCCTATCCTCTCCTATCCTCTCCTATCCTCTCCTATCCTCTCCTATCCTCTCCTATCCTATCCTCTCCTATCCTATCCTATCCTATCCTATCCTATCCTATCCTATCCTATCCTATCCTATCCTATCCATTCCTTCACTCTCCGTACGTCTACGCAACCGCCATGAAAATTTATCAGGTGTCTTCTCTCTTCTGTGGTAGAGACGTTTCGGGATGGGGATAGGGAGTTTACGAGTCGCGACGTGGATCTCCTCTACCCTGAAAAAGAAGACGATGATGAATTTGTGCGGGAGTTTCTATTAAGGCTTCTCCTTACAGAGGGTTGACGCGTGAGGTTTATACAGGATGCTCTGTATCTCAAGATAGATGGATCAGTTGGCAGGGGAGAGCCTGTTCTTCAAGGGGAAAGCAGAGGGGTTTAAACGTGACGCACTGTATCTCAGGAGGATGCTGATTCATTAGATGCTTTTGAAAAGACTCAGCGTTGCCCACTTTGTGGAGTCAACTCAGATATTTGGGCGAGTACCGAGTGAGTGAATGAATGAAAACAAAAGAAGATTGAGATGATGAAATAATGACCAAAGACAGGACGAAGAATAAGCCCTCTCCCCCATGCACACAGGTAGCCCCTATACCTCGCGAATAGGTACATCGATCAATCAATCAATCTTCAGATGACTTCCCTTAGGGTGCTGTGGACTCCTTTTAGGGTGCTGTGTGATCTCTAAGTTGGGACTTTGCCAACAGCGAAGTCGTACCCAGGGACGACAAATACCTTCATCCAGCACAAGCAGCGCATCTGAAATTGCGGGAATTCTGTTACGGATTTACTTCATTAAAGTCATTTAACATAAGAAGATGAGTATCTAAGATTCTAAGACTCTAATTAAAGAACTTATACCCCATGAGTGGGTACATCTATCTGTCTATCTACAAGATTATTAAAAAAGGAGCCATGTTTCTTCTAAAACGGATGATGAACTAATTATACAACTAAATACAAAGTTCTCACTCTCTCATATTTGAGCACCCTTTCATCTTTGACCAGCACTCATAGTGTCACCTGTCGGGTTGGTTCTGAATGAAGGAATGTTTTACTACTCAAGTAGTACCTGATAGATAAGTAGTTCCCTGATAAGTCTAATAAAGTTCTAGTCTATCAGGTAGTACCCGATAAGTTCTAGTCTAACTCTAATAAAGTTCTTACTCTCGTCTCATCTTTGACTACCCTCTCACTGTGCGACTCTTCTAACCTTGGCGTCGTTACCTAGCGCAGACAAACCCTGCTGCAGGAGACAGTATGCCCTCAGAGCCATTGCTCAAACTCGAAAAAACGAAAAAAGGACCTGGAGGAAATACTAAAATCAAAGAAGCGGAGCCATCGAAAGTTGGAGGGCCAGGTTTGGCGTCACAGACCGTTATGAGTATGGTCCTCGACAATTACTTCTTAGTAGAGTAGTCAATCTCCATCCTACGTTCTTATAGATTCCGACAGTTCGCACACTTTAGCAGATGCTTTACTTAGCTCGTGGCACTTCTTAGGTTAATAATATTATCCTTCGATCGTGCCGGAGAAAGTAACCTCATCTGTCAATTCGCTGTACTTTGTAGGACTAGATAAGCTTTTTGACCATACTTTTCTAATTCTCGCATCGCGAACAGCGCTCAAGGTCCTGGCGGAATAAGTGGACGGGCTGTGAAGGACCCGCATTTGCGGATAAAAACGGGAGAAGGTGGCGATAGCCCACTAGCTAGCGGGACACCTGTTAAGGTCAGCTTTTATTTATTCATCTGGATCTAATGGTAGTAGTGGCTGCGTCTGCGGCAAGAATTGTCTTCATATTTAAGTATTCGAAAACTGGAAATACAAGAAATACCCGAGTTCTTACTGAGTGAAATAAGGGACGTACTAGCTTTTAAAGGCTACTCTTCCTTCAGTCTCTTCTCGGTTATTCTCTTCAGTTCCCTGAACATGGGACACAAAGAAAGGGGTCGTCGAGATGAGGGGACTCCTGAGATGAAAAAAAGGCCTATTGTTCGACTCTAAACCTGGACTATATTCGAATGTTCACCCTGGCGGCATTTCCACGCTCTCCTCGCGGCGTCAGCCTTATATTATGAACTCTTTTATTTCTGGCTCACAATGTACTTACTGCTTGTGTCTAACCACAATATAGACGTCGTCTAGTCACAGTATAAGTAGTTGTGTTTAGTCACAGTGTAAGTAGTTGTGATGTGGTCTAACCAGAGTTGAAATAGGATCCATAACGACCTATAGGTCATCGATGTGAAGGATCTATAACCTAACCTAGCCCGTAGCTCATGAATGGGCACACTGCTACAACTACTGCTAGTAGTTGTGTCTAAGGACAGTGTAGTTGTGTCTAAGGACAGTGTCGTAGCGTCATCGACGCTTTCAGCAGGTGGCGGTGGTAGCAGTAGCTCCACGGCAGGACGGAAAAGATTTGGGGGTACTGCCAGGGCGAACTTCTTTAGCACCCGAGGGCTGCTATCTCTTATGGCAGAGAGCATCTACTAACTAATACTATTAGAAAATTAGCCTTTCCTGAAGAGATGTCTGGTCTGGTGTATAGCAGCTTTTGATTTTAGCTACTAACGGCTAGATCAGTCCCTTCTTCCAAAATCTTTAGCTACTAAAACTACAAGATGATCAGACATGGATCTATCATGCAATCATCTTGATGTTCGTCTTCGTGTTTTGTGGAGTAAGTAGCAGTTAAATAGAATGGGTTAATGGAGTAAGTAGTGAAAACCAAAAACCTCAATAGGTCTAGTGGTTGTGTAGAGAAGAAACTAGTACAAATGTAAGTACATCGAATCCAGGTAATCAATAGATGAAGTTCCTTTATTGTTAAATCTTCCTCGCGTTCATACCTCCAGCAGGTGAGTCTCCAGTTTTTAGTCGGAGTTCGCAGACTTTCCACACGCCAAATCGGACAAGGCTCAAGGACGATAGGGGTTATAATTATGGCCACAAGTAGGACTCTGATGATTTGAATCTACTTACTCGGTGAGTTGCCTAAGATTTCCCTGGCGAGTTCTTTAGTAGGAAATTAACTCTTTACGTCTTAGCGTCACTTTATTTTCTTAGGCAGGTCCAATCTACTAGAGAAGTCAACCCTTTTTTTGTCTAAGGTCTTTCCGATTGTCTACGTCTTAGTGTCACTTTGGAAGCATGCCCAGTGTAAGCTTCTAAGATTCTAAGGCCTACGAGATTGTTATGTCGCATTTTCTTAGGCAGGTCCGATGGTATAGGGATTATTCGCTTCACGTTGTATGCAGTAGTACTAGTGCCAGTTCCGTTCCTTCTGTACGCTGGTATCAATTATCCTCTTCACGTTGTATGCAGTACTAGTGCCACTGCCAGTTCCGTTCCTTCTGTACGCTGGTATCAATTATCCTCTTCACGTTGTATGCAGTACTAGTGCCAGGTCCGTTCCTTCTGTACGCTGGTATCAATTATCCTCTTCACGTTGTATGCAGTACTAGTGCCAGGTCCGTTCCTTCTGTACGCTTCAACCACTCAGCTTCTCTAATTTGCTAGCACAAGTAACTCCTTTTCGACCGATGATGGGTCGTCATCGTATGCAGATCCAGAGCGGGCGCAAGAATTCACAAAGTTGCTGGAAAAGGCTACAGCGACAACCAGGAAGATCATGGAGAAGAAAAACGCCAATAGGAAAAAGTACTCTTCCTATTCTGTTTGTACACGTTGCTACTTATCCACTCGTGTTGATTGCTTCTACCTCTTGGGCTGATTCCTACTTTTTGTGTTGATGGCTACCTCTCATCGTGTCGTGAGCTTTCGGCAGGTGTGCTTTAATAATGAAAGGGAAAAAAATTTCGTAGTCCTAGTTACCCATCGATCACCAAGAGGTCGATGATCTCGAAACCAATCTTCAAAGAAATAACAACAAGAAAAAAAAAACACAGTTCCTCCTCTTCGATGGCGGTTGCGGATTTAAAAATTGAGTAGTCCTCTACCTCCCTTGCTACTTATTCATACACCTTTCCTTGCCTTACTTCCTTGATAGACCCAACAACAATCCCACATCAGTTCCATGACGGACCAGTATCGAATGCGTAATGGCCAGTTGTCAGTGGAGAAGTTTTTGGAAGAGAGCCATGAAATTTTCCGAAAAATGGATGACGCAAAGAAATCACTCCTCACAGCACTCTTTACCATCAAATATTAAGGCTCGATACAACTTTGAAAAGTCCTACATAATATAGATACCTCAAAAATATTGAGGCTCGATACATCATTTTACATTTTAATAGTAGTTAAGTAGGACAAGAAAAGATGACAGACCAGAATTCTACTTTTCTTTCAGTTTCGAGCTCTAAGAGTACGCGGACAAAGGGGTCGAGCTGCTCTCACAAGGCACGGACTGGGATAGCATAGTGGCTATTGTTATGTTGGGATGACAACAACCTCTAGTAAAAGCGTTCCAGTGGTTTCTTTTGAGCATGAGTGTAGCTTGAGATGTCGATGTCGAATCCTCGGACCGCTTCAGGGACTGTCTCCTCTCACCAATGACAGAGGATAGTCATTTGAGGTGCACACATGATCTGGCATGTAGTTGCAGTGCTAGTGTACGCTTGTCTGTCAATCTCATCGTCAGGAAATGAACTTGAAAAAAACTAGATATAACTGATAAAACTAGGTCTACTTCCCATAGTACTAGAAGAAAACAAGGCTCGCTCTAACATTTTCGGTGGTGCAGTGGATGTCTTTATCAGCTTTGAGCAAACGCAGTCAGACCAACGACCCTTCAACAATTACATCAAGGAGCAAAGACTGGTTGTCTCTGAGAATTCTAGTAACGTGCTTACCAGTGCAGGCAGTGTTAAGGCTTCTTGCTGAGATAGTGCTTAATCATGCATTTTTAGATCATCACACACTATTTTTAGACTAGATTTTAATCATGCATTTTTAGACTTAATCACACTAGATCATCACACACTATTCTCGGATGGTTTCTCCCGTTTGAGATTCCTGATTGGAGCGCCTATCTTCTACAGGAAGTGAATTGCTTATTTAGAGGTCGGCGACGCCCTGACTGACTGACCTACAATCGAACTCTTTCTGGCACTTGTGATCTCACGGCCCTCTACTCGTTATTGTTTCGCCGCGTATTAAGATTGATTCATCGTCTAGCAAACACATCGTTATAATTGCTTGCCTCTTCTAACATTGGCGTTTGGTTTGGGCAGGCAGTAGAGGATGAATCAGCGCAGCAGAGGAAACTTTCAGCTACCGAAGAAGCGATGCTCACACAGACACTCCATGAAACCAACGAAAACGACAAGAAGAAACGAAAAAGAAAACAAATCGTGGGAGATGATGACGTACAACTAACTTCTTTCAGTAGTCAACTCACTAACTTCTTTCAAGATGTAGAAGGAAGTAGTTGCTAGTTCTNCCGTCGCGCGGGTGCCTCTGGGTCTTCCACGCCTCTCGGCTGTCGCGTATTTGCTCGGTTGTTGTCTTCTTTGTATGTGGGTCAGAACTTGACCCGGAGCACTATCCAAACGCCCGACGGGTTTACCGTCGCGCGGGTGTGTCTGGTTTTTTCCATTTCTGAGCATTTTGATGGTGGTGCAAAGAAACCACCAAAATGATCCCGATCAAGATCGACGCAAGCGCCACAGAGATCCACAAAGAAAAGGCCCCCAAAGGACTGAGATCAAAAAAATGGCGTACGTTGTTCAGAACTTAGCCCGGAGCACTATCCAAACGCCCGACGGGTTTACCGTCGCGCCGGTGTCTTTGGTTTCTCGCATTTCTGGGCATTTTGATGCTGGTGCAAATCAGCAAAATGATCCCGGTCCAGGTCGGCGCAATTATCGCCACAGAGGCGCCCAAAGGACTGAGAGCAAAAAAAAAAACGGCGTGCGCTGTTCAGAAATTGACCCGGAGCACTATCCAAACGCCCGACGGGTTCACCGTCGCGCGGGTGTGTCTGGTTTCTCGCATTTCTGGGCATTTCGATAGTGGTACAAATCGCGAAAATGATCCCGATCCAGGTCGGCGCAGGTGCCACAGAGATCCACAAAGAAAGGCGCCCGCATAGGACTGAGGTCAAAAAAACGGCGCGCGCTGTTCAGAACTTGACCCGGAGCACTATCCAAACGCCCGACGGGTTTACTGTCGCGCGGGTGTGTCTGGTTTTTCTCATTTCTGAGCATTTTGATAGTGGTGCAAAAAATCACGAAAATGATCCCGATCAAGATCGGCGCACGCGCCACAGAGACCCACAAAGAGGAGCCCCCCGCAAAGGACAGAGATCAAAAAAAAACGGCGCGCGCTGTTCAGAACTTGACCCGGAGCACTATCCAAACGCCTGACGGGTCTACCGTCGCGCGGGTGTCTCTGGTTTCTCACATTTCTGGGCACTTTGATGGCGGTGCAAAGAAATCAGCAAAATGACTCCGATCCAGATCGGCGCAAGCGCTACACGGGTCCACAAAGAAAAGCCCCCCGCAACAGGCCGAGACCAAAAAAAAAAACGGCGTGCGTGGTTCTGATGAACCCGACCCGGAGCACTATCCAAACGCCTGACGGGTTTACCGTCGCGCGGGTGTGTCTGGTTTTCCCCATTTCTGAGCATTTTGATGCTGGTACAAATCACCAAAATGATCCCGATCCAGATCGACGCAGTCGCTACAGAGGCACCCAAAGGACTGAGATCAAAAAAAAAACCGGCGCGCGATGTTTAGAACTTGGCCCGGAGCATTATCCAAACGCCCGACGGGTTTACCGTCGCGCGGGTGTGTCTGGCTTCTCGCGTTTCTGAGCATTTTGATAGTGGTAAAAATCACGAAAATCATCCCGATCCCGATCGGCGCAAGCGCCACAGAGATCCACAAAGAAAAGGCGCCCGCAAAGGACTGAGCAAAGAAATCACCAAAATGATCCCGATCAAGATCGGCGCACGCGCCACAGAGATCCACAAAGAGAAGCCCCCCGCAAAGGACCGAGATCCAAAAAAAACACGGCGCGCGTTGTTCAGAACTTGACCCGGAGCACTATCCAAACGCCCGACGGGTTTACCGTCGCGCGGGTATGTCTGGTTTCTCTCATTTCTGAGAATTTTGACGGGCAGGCAAATCACCAAAATGATCCCGATCCAGATCGGCGCAAGCGCCACAGAGATCCACCACGCCAATTATCCAAAGGATAAGGGTCAACGAAATGACCAAGATCGCCAAGCAAAAGGCTACCGGAGCACCATCCAAACGCCCGAGGGGTTTACCGTCGCGCGGGTGTCTCTGGCTTCTCCTCTCTTGTTGTTGTTGCAAAAGGTTACCGGAGCACCATCCAACGCCCGACGGGTTTACCGTCGCGCGGGTGTCTCTGGCCTCTCCACTCTCTTGCATGCTGTGCCAAACCCTTCAGCACAGTCAAGGACAAACGCCACCGGAAAGACCTCAGGGAAACCCATAGACCTAAACGCATGTGGTTCCGAAGTCAATGATCAACAGACAAAGGAAAGGACCAGGGCCCTGGTCGTATTCAGATAGCAGAGACAACGGACGCCCATAGTTGTAACCGTGTCTGTTTCGTTTTGTCAGTTCTGATCAGTTCAAAGTGCATAAAGATCGCCGTAAGGTATTCGCGTGCTAGGTCTCGGATGATATGGCCTGATGCAATTCCGTACATGTAAGGCCAGTCAGATCCGGACGGGTACCGACATAGGGCGACCATGTGAAGGCATTGACGATAAGCAGAAGCCCTCCATATGAAGCACGTGGAACACCCCCCACCATGTTACCCCAATGAAGAAGCTGAGACTTCCCCCCTGCAACCCCGACGAATATCCACAGGGATCAAACCAGCCAGAGACCATAAGCCTCAGGCTGTGAGTTCAATTTGCA